CATTTTGTAGCAGGAACCAACGGTTGTCGAGACTGTCTTATTCAAGGCAGTTTATAGAGAATCAAAGATTATGAATCTTGTACTCCTAATTCTAAGGATGACCTTTTAGTTGCTGAATTGTTTTCTTTCCAAATAATACTCTGTTGTACAAGCATGTTGTGCAGTGCTACAGCCAAGCCAAATAACCACAGAAAGGGGACCGACAGAAGAAAGGGTCCTGCTGCCGTGACACATACAGAGTAAAAAGTCTTAACAGTGCACGATCTGCTTTTAGAATGACGATGCGTGTTTAACTTCTTGGGTTTTAACTCGCAATAATTTGTAATTTTTGAAATGAGCCACCGGCAGCAAGGTATAGTTCAAAATATAATAGAGTTAAATAGCAGTAGTCATTGTATACTTCCAAGCTGTCTTGGTTAAAAGATTACTACATTATAGTGACTGATTTCGTTAAAGTGATGGCTGATCCATGTGATTGCACCCGGATCCATGTAGGTTGGTAGTTCTGGGACAAATGTACCTCTGGAGTTTTTACATCTTCTAAAAAGTCCAACTTCATTAGTTGAAAATATGCGATTATTTTGAGATAAAATACTTTGGGCGCTTAATTGGCAGGATTAATGATTTTACTTGGATTTCATTCAAGAAGCCTATAATTTTAGTACAAGAGGACTTGTCAACAGTAGGGACACTTCTGTTTGATGTTGGTTGTGCCTTGCGAATAACTTCGGGTAACTGCTTGGTAAAACAGAGCATTGGGCACGAAGTTAATTTTTGGCAATGACTAACTAGAAACTGCTGTTTCTGTGGTAGTTTTGAACAACAGAAATCTCTATTCTATGTTGAGTTTTTTTTAATTTTTCTTCCCTTCTTCTCCAGACACAGCCTTGGCAAGACCTATAACATAGTTCTGGGATCTGGACAGGTGGTGGTGGGGATGGACATGGGCCTTCAAGACATGTGTGTTGGGGAGCGACGAACAGTTGTTATTCCACCTCATCTCGGTTATGGAGAAGATGGAGTAGGTAAGTGAGTGAAACCTACTGCACATCCACTTCGCATCTCTTGAGTAACCGAAACAGAAGCACTCTTGTTTTCTTACTTGCTGCGTGTGAGGACATAAGGTGAGTGTCTCTTAGCTGCTCCAGTGGGATTTTTTTAGAGGTTTTTCATTTCGTTTAGATAAGCCCCCCCCATTCTCCAATGAAATGAACAAATTGTCTGTGTTGCGTTTTAAGTCTTACTGTTACTGTGGCCAATAGAAAGACCGTCCCAGTACAAAAGGGAACACATGCCCCCAGTAATGTTGCTTTGTCAAAACGGAAAGCTCCAGGCGCTCTGGTGTTGCAGAGGGATGTAAACACTGTTCTCCGTGATAGGGAATCGGGTAATCACGCTTGGACATGTGGCATATTATTCAGGAAACAAAACTGAAGGGGACTGTTCAGCACTAATATGTTAGAAAATTCAACGAAAACTCAAAATTCGGAAACTACGTAAACCGAATGCAAGATGTGAAACAGTGTATCGGTGCTGTTGAAACCCCAGCACCAATACATTTAAAGCAGTTTTAGAGCATTGAGGCTTATAAATTTGTAATGACAGGGACAACGATAATAAAAAGAACAACATAGAAGTGACAAGAAGTCTCATCTCCCTGCGTTTGTGGTTGTTACTGGTCTTCTGAGTTAAAAGACGTGAGAGAAAGGAGTCTATCGAGAGATCACCAAGACCAACAAACTCTGATATGTATGGAAACAGTTGCTGTGTTCTTTGAATAGCTCCAGAACAGTTTGTATTTTCTGAAGTCTGTCTGTTAGGCATCATGTGCAGAGCATAATGGAGAATTAATATGTGATAAGAGAGAAAGAAGCATTTTCACTTCTAGCTGTCTTCCGTGAAAAATTATGAGTATTATACATGCAGCATTTTATACTATTATATGAAATCATATAGTTATGTATAATAAGTTGAAAATTCCCCCCTAACATGAAAAGTCTGCTCTGTTAAAAAACCTTATGAACATAACTGCCGTAGGCATTTGCCATCATTCAAATTGCATGCAGTGTACGTGGTCTGAAACATTGCATTGCTAGTGTTTTGGTATACGCCCAGATATCTGAAGAGATTGCTCGTTTGCTACTGGACAGAAGTTAGAGGTGAACTCAGTTTTCTTTTTCAAGAATAAATTAAACTCCTTCCATGGTTTCTTTGAGGTAACATCCCAAGCTGTTGCAACACTATTGAGTCTGTCAGTAGCACCTTGATACACAGTGTATTGGTGAGATAAAGGAAAATTGATTCATTCCCACAGTTTTACCTTTATAAGTTAAATGAATGCAGTTTTATTATGAAAGCTTCCTTTATGTTTTGATCACCTCTGCTGAAGTGAACAGGAGGATTTGGTGGGCTTGGGATCGTGGGGCTTGGAGGTCACAGTAGAGAAGCAGATGTTGGAGCAGGAAGAGAAATTTAATTACGGATTAAAAGGAAATATCCCCTTCAATGCAAGTAAGGATAAATACCCCTCTTTGCCATTTGTTGTGACAGAAGGAGAAGTGCCTGGTAGCGCTGTATTAGTTTTTGATATCGAACTTCTGGAACTGGTGTCTGGCTTGCCTGAAGGGTACATGTTTGTATGGAATGGGGAAGTCTCTCCCAATCTTTTTGAAGAAATAGACCAGAATCACGATGGAGAGGTTCTTTTGGAGGAGGTAAGCTGAAACAATGAAAACACTTGCAGTGGTTTTCTCCTGCCACCATCACCAAGATGTTTTATCCTATCACTGTCAGTGCAGATGTTGAAGAATGGGGTCTCTCCTCTTCTCCTCTTCCTTCTTCTGATATGGTGTTTGTTGTCAAGTTAACAGGAAGGCAGCGTGTCAGTTAAAACATGGTTATTTAGCATTAAAGAGAAAACCAAAAAGAAATACAAGAATGGCCATACCACTTAAGATCCTTTACTATGGTGGTCTCCTTGATCAACAACAGATACTTGGGGCACGGGTAGAAGAGGCAGAGTTAGTATTCCACCATCCTTCACTGTATCAGCCTTCACAGTGTCTGTTAATTGGAGGTTTATGGTGAATTCTCAAGCCAAAGTTGAGCCTGCAGCAGGGCATTCAGGAACTGTCTAATCACTTCTGGAGCCTGGCAGTGCCTGTGGCTGCTTCTTCGGTGGGTGCTGTGTGAACAAGTCTCCTTCCCCCTGCTTGCTTTTAAAATCTGTAGTGCGAGAATGTCATTGGGTGCCCTAATTGAAATCCACTTGCCTTTGCCATACCATCTCTGACAATATAAACCTCTGTGAGGTTTTCTTCTGTGCTTTCTCTTAACTGAGGAATTCTATTTTATTTTTTTATTCTCTTCTTCAGTCTTCTTTGTCGCCTTTCTCTATGATTCTGTGTTCTGTCCTTGCTTGTTGGAGTAGTGCTGCCTGCAGCTCTCAGGGTGCAGGCTGTGGACCTACGGAACAGCATGAGATGCCTTCCAGCATTTTAACAAGCCAATGGGGTAAAACCAAAATCTTGTTCTCCCTCTTCCACCTCTTTTTTTTTTTTTCCCTTCCTTCCTTCTCCATTTTCTCCCTTGTGTTTACCTCCACTTCTGTCCTTTGCAAAGAAGAAAAGAGCTTTCATCAGTCTAGAGAACGAGTGAGGTGGGATATGACTGTTGATATTCACATCCTTCTGGTCACCTAGCAGGGGGGAGAAGCCAAGGAGATGTGAGAGGATGCTTGGCCTAAAAGGTGTAAATGAATGTCAGAAATAGCTCTCATTGCTGAAGCTTATTTAACAGGTAGCGCCAGAGATAACAGTAATTGGAAAAATTGTGTTTGATTGTGGACTTTCTGTTTTTGGAAAGTCAGCAGTATGACTTCTGTCAGATGTTGTCTAATGACCTCAAGTAACTTCATCACATGTAAAAGGAAAAGGATTTTTAGGGAAAACTAACCTTGTAACGTTGCAGCCTTCCCCACCGTGCAGTCCAGGGGAAGGCATAATGCCTGAAGCTACTTTAACGAATCTCATGGTATCCTGACGCTTGAAGTCTCTTTTCTGTGTTTCATTCTTTCTTCCCGTGTGTTGTTTCTTGTAAGATGCAGGTGGATGTCTGTTTTAAGTGAGAGCTTCTTGTATCACGTGTCTGTCCTAATTAGTCCTATTTAGGTTGTAAGCTTTATAGGATAGTAACAGTGTACTTTTCCATACACTTAATAATAAGCAGTAAAATGCTAAATAGTCAACAACAAATAAACGCTACTTTTGTAAATATTCTTCAGTTTTAAATGGCTGTTTCACTGTGAGCTGCTTCCTCCTCTTTTCTCTCCACCTAGTTTTCAGAGTACATTCAAGCTCAAGTTGATTCTGGCAAAGGAAAACTAGCTCCTGGTTTTGATTTTGAAAAGATTGTTAAAAATATGTTCACCAATCAAGACCGGGATGGAAATGGTAAAGTTACCGCTGAAGAATTCAAGTTGAAAGACCAGGAGGCCAAAGAGGAACACGACGAACTGTAAAGCTAAGAAAAAAACAAACAAACAAACAGTCCTGAGCTGACCTACTGTTTGAACGCGTGTATTGGAAGAAGGTTTCGGCAAGCATGTTTCTGAAAGGTTAGCACTCGGCGAGGTAGCCTGCGTCTGCCTGTGTCTGTGTGCTGGCAGGCGGGTAAAATAGGAAGAGATTTTCAGTTGGAATTGTTAGGTATATTTGGAAAAAGTGTTGAGTGCCTCAAGATAGGATGTATAAATGGATAAAGAGCGTACTGCCTGCCATACGTGGTGTCGTCAACCACGTGGTGTGTTTTTATGCTAAAGATTAGAAGTCATTATTGATCAATACACAGTCACTTGGATGGATGGATGGATGGATGGATGGATGGCAGGCAGAAAACTTGCCGAGCGCTTTTAGAAGAGTTTGAAAAACCCGTCTATATCAGAAGTATTTCTGCAGGAGAACAAACCAGAAAATATGCCCCATGAAAATAACCTGTAAAAATTGTTAGACATGGAGCCCGGTTCCTTTCAGAAGGCAT